AGAACCTGGCTTTGCACGTGTGCGGGCCCCAGGTAGACCAGAAGTATAGAAGAAGGAGCTCTAACCCTGGCTAAGACATTGTTGATTTCTTTTCTTTAATATTTTAAAAGAAAAATTTACTTTAACTACATCGAATTTAGAAACCGTAAACTACAAAGACTGTCCTAAACAATATACAAAGGTTGAATAGAAATTATAAAAGAAAACACAAAATTGTTGCAAGCTCTCACGCCTCCTAATCTATGAGTGTTATGCCAAACTAGTAGAAAAACACTCATAGGTTAGCCGACGCCTCTGACAAGTGTCCTCTTTGGCAGGAGCAGCTGCATCCTGAATCCTGAAGCAAGATTTTAATTTCTAGATCAGCCAGGCCATAGATTTTTCTTCTTGACAAGTACAGGGTAGTAATGGCCAATGGAGGACATCACACTCGTGGAAATGAATTGGTGCTCGACATTTGTGACCTAAATTGTATATTATATTCTAAACTTTATAAAAATAACACCATAAATAAGAAAAATACCCTCTCGGGAGCACTGAGCGATCGTTACTAAAGCGTCCCCACTTTCATTGCCCGGAATTACGAGTGAACTGTCTATGTGGCCAGCTTCCGTGAGAGGGAACCATGAATTCTCATGGCTTACAAATAATCCCAAACAGCTAACGCCCCCGAATTCTTGGCAGCAAGAGTGGGCGGTTTACTCCTGCTGAAATCCTTTTTGCTTAAGATCCAGGAGGCAGTGCTGAGAAATCCTGTTCTGGGCCTGAGGCTGGTTAATACACAGTCACTGATCCCCAAAGAAACAACTCAAGGTAACACATCAAACGCTCCGCAGACTTTGGATGGCTCCCTGGGCCTTTGCCTTGCCGAGTACCTATGGGCACAGACGACTGGCCCATTTTAGAGGTGGCTCCGTTATAGAAAAGAAGCCTGGAGGACCGTCGTAAGGAAATGTCCGTGTGTGTGACACACAATGGGCTCAGTTTGGCTTTTAACATTTTGGAAAGCAACACTCTCTTCTTTTCGCCAGTCTTCCATCCCCAGCAGAGAAGTTCAACTCCTGGCCCCACAGCTCTTCTGGAAACAGTAATAGACTCTTTGAAGTGTGAACTACACCTTCCCCAGCTGCTAGGCTTCTGCTGGCCGGAGGAGACCCCCTGAAGGCAATTCCATAGCCCATTTAACTGCCTAATGGAAGTCAGAGGTCCGTGGCTCCCTCTGCTCTGGCCCCGCCTAGAGAAGGCACCTCTGGGTACACTGCAGAATGGAAAGATGCTGGAATCTCCGTGGCAACGCAGGGGGAAACCAGTGACATTTAGGAAGGAGGGGAGGGAGGCAGAGCTGCTGTTCCCAGTCTCACTTCAGCCCTCTCCCTTCCTATGACCACAGTGAGATCAGTTCTCAAAAGTCAAAGGCAGCATAGTACTTACAGGTCTCCTGGAGTTTTCCTCTTGCCACTGGATTGAAGGAACTCTTTCCTATAGGACTCTGGGNGCATAGTACTTACAGGTCTCCTGGAATTTTCCTCTTGCCACTGGATTGAAGGAACTCTTTCCTATAGGACTCTGGGGTGAAGGGGTTAATGTTAACCAGAGCTGATGAGGTCATTTCATCTGTGAAGGAGACAGGTGTGAGCCTAAAATGCTTAGAGCCTCGGGAGGGCAGCTTCCCTGTTGAAGAAATCATGGACTGGCCCGGCAGGCCCTGAACGGGGGTGACAAAAGGCAAATCAGAATGGGGTTAGTGAAGAAAAAATAAAATTCGTATCAGTTAGCTAGTTAATATTTGAACCAAAGACTGTTATTGCTGAAAGGGGCCTCAGGGGTTATCTGGATCGGCGCAAACTAGTCGCTTCATAACTGGTCCTCAGGGGAAAACTACGGATTCCCTGTCCCCTGCTGGGTATTCCCATTCATGGGACCAACACAGGAGTCCCTACTTGGGTTATCTCCCCGCCTTGCCCTGGGCAGTTCTGATAGCCAGCTTGGAAAACCACCAAATCTAGCCCCACCTCCAACACTTTAAGGATGGCATTTAAGCTTAGACGAACGCAAACGACCTCAGAAGACCTGGTCCTTATGCCCTCAGAGTGTGCGCTTTCGCTTCCCCTCGTTCACTCGTGGAAATCCGCGTTTGGTGCATGCTGAGTACTCTGAGCGGGATGCTGGGGGCGAGGGGTGCAGAGGGGGACTCCAGCTCTTAAGGAATGAACGGTCCACTCCATTCATTGATGTGTCGGAAATAACCACTTTGTAAGGGAAAGATTTCACAGACAACATGGAAGAAGAAATGTCCAGTCCCCTTAAAACGTAGGCCCCAAATGAGAAGAGCTCCATGAAGCAGAGTAAAATAAAAATGGAGAAGTAATACTCTAAACCCCTGAGCTTCAAGGCTTCGCAGCCACTGTACCTAACATACCAACAAACAGAAAACTGTGCAGGACTTACCACTCCCAGTAGGTCACAGTAAGAGAACACAGGCCTAAGACCGAACCAGAACGAACCCAAAGGCAGAGGGCAGAGGTCAAAGACGGAATTCTGATGAGACAGCAGATGCCATTATGACCTAAATGTCGGGGGGCCAGAGGGATACCCGTGTTTTAGGCCTTCAGGGGTACAGGGTACACATGGGGGCCATAGGGCAAGCGCTGTCCTGGAGGCTCTCTCTACGAGAATTCCACTCTCAGGGCCTCTGCCCATGGCTCAGGCTAGAAGCAGAAGGTAGGTTACACCATGGCTCACCACATACAAATACAGTCAAGGGATGTGAGGCTACAAAAAATGAATATTGACCTCGTACATGCTCACTAAGTGACCAATACAAGCAGAAACGAAGGAAGCAATAGAGCACGCACAGTAACCTAACATTTTTTAAATTGATTTGAGAGAGAGGAAGGGGGAGGGGGGGGGAAGAGAGAGAAATATTAATTGGTTGCCTCCCGTATGCACCCTCATTGGGATTAAACCCGCAACCTTGGGTATGTACCCTGACCGGGAATCGAACCTGCCATCTTTCAGTGCGTGGGACCACGTAAGGGCCAGGGCACTAACATTTTTTTTTTTTTTTAATGAAGAAAAAGATGTCATTGCCAGGGGTGAGTTTTTACAAGGATTCTGCATGTCCTAGAATGGAAGGATGAACTACCCTGGGGCTATTGTCGGAGAAGGCCATCAGTCTTCCTGTAAGTTTACCATAGGGCTGAGCTTTGGTTCAAAAGAACAACTATTTGAACAGATTCTCAGTTGTCCATGTGATCCAAGAGACGAATTCAGAATGATAGTCATTGTCTGAGAAACAGTTTTTCTGTGATGCTGATCAGCATGTGGGAAGTAAAGGGGCATCTGTCGTACATGAAACAGCGGGGCACCCGCACACCTGGAATCTACACCCACACAGAGCTCTGGCTGCCACACCTCCAGGACCACAAAACGGGCCCGGATAGTTTTCAGGTAAAAGGAAGGAAAAGTATTTGCACCAGGGCAGACAATATCAGAATTCCTAGTCTGGAAATGTGAAGGCGGATAGGTTTTCCGAGCTCCACTTAAAAGAGAGGGAAGGATATTAGTTATATTAATAAGGATTGTATTGTCAGAATGGCAGAACTAGGAGGAATCCTTTTGGAACCTAAAAGAACATAGTTTGGGACAAGATGTATGAAAAGGATTTCATCAAAGTAAAGCAGATTGAAAATTTCTGGGAAGATGACCAGGTTGAGAATCTAAACATGCTCCAGAGATTGGCGCTAATTCCATGAGCAACAGCCCTGTAACGTGCAGTTTCCCCTCCAAAATTCAGGAGGTGCTTTTCCCTTGGCCTCAAGTCTTCAATCCCTTCTTGCCTGGTGAACTCCAGCTCATTCTCTGAGACGTCTCTCAAACATCGCTCTCTTTGGAAAGGCTTCTCTGATCTCTTGAGACTTAATTCCTAATTCTCTCTCATCGTGTGGTGCCACTCCCCTAGGACACCGGATCTGAATTTTAATTATTGTTCCAGTTGTGTGTCTATTGTTATTTTGTGGGCACTCCTTGAAGGCAGGAGATGGGTGTGTCAGCAGAGGGCCAGCTGCCCTATCACGGTGTTCAGTTTTAAGCAAACGAGTGAAATATGTACCATGTCGTGCTTTCTTGCCTGTGTACGTTTGCTCAGCGCCACCTTCTCTCAGCCCACTCTCCCCCCGCTTTCTATGTCAAAACCACACCAACTCTCACTGACCTTCCTATGTTTCCTTCACCTTTATTTCTTTCCTGATCACCCCCCTGAGAAGCAGCCCACCCAGTGAACTCTGGCCGCTCTTGAAACACCCATCACACAGTGTCTACAGACGCGTCTCTTCTTTCTCTCTGTCTGTGTCCTGTGCTCCTTGCACCCAGTGGGTTCTCAAAAAACTAAAAATAAAAATCTGTGGATTGGTGGGCATTGGGACCATTGAAAACCCCACAGATGAACACATGAACGTATTAGAGCAGTTTTTCTACCGTGCAGACAAGAAGCTTAGCGTCTCCTGTGGGCGCGGGGCCCATACCCAGCAGGCACTAAAGAGACCTGCAGACAGCGCCTGCTTCAATCAGAGCCTGATGTTTCCACCAGGATCAAGCACCTCCAGCTGAGCCAGCAGGAAGCAGAGCCAACAGCAGTCCCGAGCTCCCTCCCCCACGGGCGCCCATCCATCACAGGCCACCCGCCCCAGCCCTGGCTTCAGGAACACGAAACATGTAGCAGGAGACCAGCCACAACAGGAGTAGAGGAACAGGCTCACTGCCCGGGCCCCTGCTTATTTGCAACCCTCAGCTTGCACAGAAGTGTCAACAGGTCGCTTCTTTGCTCACATATAATAGAAGCGCCTGAACTTGGCAAGGCCCGGGGGGGAGAGCCTTCCTTCTGGAAAGAGCAGCAGCAAGGAGATATGAATGTGTCCAAACAAAGTGAACACGAAATATTAGTGAATGATCCCATAAAATAGAGCCGGTTGGCGTAACGGAAAGAAGGGGCTAAGACCAAAAGGTCAGGTTTGCAGTCCTGTCTCTGCCCAGTGGCTGAGCAAGAAGCCAGTTTATCTCCGGAGACCTTGATTTTCTCCTGTGTGGTGCGTACGGGTTCGGCCCCAGATCCCAATGTCCCTCCCAGTGCCAATATTACTTAACTGGGAGCTTTCTCCCCACCCAACCTTTATGGGTGGCCTCCACCAAATAGTCGCTGGCACCCGTGGTTTTGAGAAGACAGCTGGCGAGACGTTTAATTCTGTTTTCTGATCACTCGCAACACGCTTCATTTTCACCAATAAATACGTAATTGGGCTTAAGACAGCCTGGGAGGCAAACTTATCCTATACACAGAGTCCTTTCTCTGTCAGCTGGCCTGAAGGAACCTGGGTCCCTCCCCCTGGGGCCCCCCCCACCCCCCACACTCACTTTGGGGGTGAAGGGACTCTCACAGTACAGCAGCTGGCTTCTGTCGTCCGGCTGGGCTGGTGTTGCAGGACACCTGGGGGATCCTGACAGCAGAGGCTCCGGGCTCACTGGGCCTTTTTCCTGAAAGGTGGGGAGCCCGCGTCCTTCACTGCGGGGTGTCCTGGGAGGGGTGGGCCTGGCCCTCCAGCCGGGAGCGGCGGCCTTCTCCGGGGTGTGGCTCGGGGCCTCCCCGCCCTCGGGCGCTTCCTGCCCTTCTTTGTTCCGACTCTCTTCTTCGCAGCAGGAGAAGTTCAGTTTCTGCCTCAGCTCTTTGTTAATGCTGTTTTCATCCATCTCTGCCCCCGAGCTCTACCTGGTGGCCGAGGGCCTGTCAGGAGCGGGGAGCCTGAGCCCGCTGCCCAGACGCACCTGTGGGTGGATTTGCCCCCTTAAGTACCAGGTGTCGGGGCCTCAGCTTGGCCTCATTGCCACTGATTCCAGACGGCGCCGGCAACTCCCGGAGCGGTTCAATCCGGCGCGTGTTCAAACTCTTCTGGCCAGCGCAGGGCCTCCCCGCACTCACCTGGCACAGAAGGCTGGTGAGACTGTGGGTTCCTCTGACTTCGCCTGGCCTTGAAGACACCCAGCAGTCAGCTTGGGAACAAGCTCAGTGTTGGAAAGAAACGGCTCGCGCTCCTTTGCACCCACCGTTTAGAAATCTCACCCTCTCCTCGCTCCCGCTCCCCACCCGCCCAGTGGCTCGGGGGAGCTCATTACAATCCAGCATCACCTGGACGTGGGAATGATCCTGAAACTGCCTCCGACAAACCCCAGGCTGGAGCTCATCTCCCAAACGGAGAGGCCCCTCGGGTCTCGGCCAGGCACACCTGCCCCAGTTCCAGCCCCCCCAAACACACACGCGCGCGTAACACCCCGCCACCCTGCCCACCGCCAGGGGCGGGCGGTTAAAGCTTTTATAAAAGGAACTGGACACATTTTCAAGCTGATAAAAGAAAAGCTAGAAAGATCGGTCATGCACAGAAGCAGATACGTATCCCTTGAAAATGGAAATGACTTCCGCCCCCCGCTGCCTTATTTTGTAAAACCCGTTTTCTTACTGTTTAGCGATCTTTAGCAGGCGCTGGTCAGTTCCTTGCTCAGAGGGGCCCCCATGGGAAGGGTAGAAACTCTTTGAAGAAACAAGCCACCCACATCGCTTTATAAGAGAGCAAGTGAAAGGGGGTCCGTGAGAACGGAAAATGAAGCCCAAGAGCCCCCTCCATAGACTCTGGAGAGACTCGGGCGGTGACGGACGGAGTTATTTACATGATAAATGTGGGCCCGGAGAGAGAGAGGCCCTGAGGACCAGTTTGATCGGGACTGAAGCCAACTTAATTTCCCTCCTCCTGATAGTCTTCGGTTCCCCTTTAGGCCCGTCACCCCTCCTCCGTTTTCTCTCTGCACCCTCCCTCCACCCCTTCCCCTCCCTCACTCCCTGCCCATTTCCGACCTGCTTCCCCCAGACCTCCCTGCAGTCCGTTCTCCACCCAGTAGCCAAAGGGATCCTTTTAAAGGACCGTGTCCTCAGGTCCTCTGGGGCCTCCCATTTCACCCAGAAGACAGCCAGCCCTGCACCAAGGGCCTGAGGATCCACCCGCAGCTTGTCACTCCTGCATCCCCCCTTGAACATCTGCTCTAGACTCCTTACTGTCCCTCCAGATGCCATGTCTCACTCATCCAGCTTTCTCCAGGGGGTCTCCTCAGCTGTCATTTATCAGAGAGGACTTCCCAACAACCCCAAATTGTCCCCATCACCCATCCTCCGGCCCCTAACTCTGTGTCAGGTTCCTCCACAGCCCTTACGGCTGTATCATATATTACATACCTAATGGTTTATTTAAAGAATTGTGTCTCCCCTGTCCCAGCCCCAATAGAATCTAAATTCCACGAGGACAGGGGCTTGACACATAGTAGGTGCTCTGAATCAAGGTGTACACTTGACATTCGAATTTTTATTTTATTTTATTTTATTTTTTTAAATATATCTTTATTGACTTCAGAGAAAGGAAGGGAGAGGGAGAGAGAGAGATAGAAGCATCATGACAAGAGAGTCATTGATCGAGCCTGCAACCAGGGCATGTGCCCTGACCGGGAATCGAACCCCGATCCCAGGTCGATACTCAACTACTGAGCCACGCCCGGCCGGGCGACATTCGAATTTTTAATTTTCGACTCCAATGCAAATTTCAGAGGACTGAGAGGCAGGGATATGTTGATTTTATTATTTTTTATAAAAAGTATTTTTATTGATTTTTAGGGAGAGGGATACTGAGAGAGAACACCGATCGGCCCAGCACCCAGGAGCTAGCCAGCAACCTCGGCATGTGCCCTGAGCAGGCACCCAACTGGCAACTTTTCTGTACACAGGACGACGGCCAACCTACTGAGCCACACCGGCCAGGGCAGGGATGTGTTGGTTTTAAATAACTTAGTAAACGTTGAATATATATTGTATTTTATTAATCCCTACACCCACCTGAGCCAGGCCTCTAAGGTATGTGAGTTACTGTCCATTCAATTTAGGACACACCAGCAAGTGCCTGATGCCCAGGGGATTTGGGAGAAGTGATGGGAAATTTCAGGCAGACCGGGCTGACGTTACAGCTACCGTGGTCGAAGGTATGAGATGGACGCTAGGAAGTCGGGAGTCAGACAGATCAGGAGCCCAGGATGTCTCTGGGCGGCTTTAGGTCCTCGGTTCCTAATTGTGGGACTTCGGTTCACGGGACAGATAAGCGTGAGGATAGCCCTTAAACCATTAGGAAGGTGATTGTCTCCATCTCCTCCATTCACATCCTCAGTGTCACCCTGTCACCCCTCAGCTGGTCCCAGCATCGGCACTCCTGTCTGGACCCCTGGCATTTGCCTTGGTCAGCCAGTGACGCAGACTGATGGTGGAGGCAGAGCAGACTAGTCCTCCCCTGGATGGAAGACTTCCCGTAGGGGAGAATAAAATGGCGTAGTTATGCAAACTTGTCGATTCTTCCCCAGTAAATATGCAATTTTTGTGCCATTCGGATAGGGGGGAAAAAAAAATCTCACTGTTTTTGGGAAACTGGATAAAATGATTTTAAATTTCACAAGGAAAAATCATTGTCAAAGAAATAGCTGAAGATTTAAAAAATAGAGTAGAGATGACTACCTCTCCCGGAAATAAAACTATTTTTTTTTAAATGTGTGTTTTTTTTACTATATCTTTATTGATTTCAGAGAGAGGAAGGGAGAGAGAGAAACATCAATGACGAGAGAGTCAGCATTGATCGGCCGCCTCACGCACGCCCCCTGCTGGGGATCAAGCCCACAACTCGGGCATGTTCGACGACTGGGAATCGAACCGGTGACCTCCTGGTTCGTAGGTCCCAACGCTCAACCAGCTGAGCCCCACCAGCCAGGGCTGTGTAGCAATTACTGGTTAACTATTCAATAACAAAGTTTTAGAGTCTCACTTTATATCACCTGCCGATATAAACACTGAGCAGATTAAGAGCTCAGATGCGGTAAATCAATCTATAAATACCTAGAAGAAAATACAAGTGAACATTCATCAAATTTCTGGGTGGGGATTGATCAACTTTCCAAATGTCAAAGCAGCACAAAAAATCACCGAAAGGACCGCCGAGTTTGACTACATGAATTTTAGAGCTTCGGTATTTCATTAAGCAACTGAGCAGCACTGACGCCACACACAGTAAACTGGACGTGATACTAACAGTAAGCGTGCCAGACAAGAGAGGAGCATTCTCAGCGCACACAGAAGCCATGCGATTGATAACAAGAGCACGAAGACCCCACGGGATAAGTGAGCAGACGGCAGCTTGACCAGACAACGCACGGAGGAGGGACCACAGTCCTCGGCAGGTAGAGGGTGTCCCCAAAAAATGTCTACACACACTTTGAATAATTATAAAGACAGTGTGTATTCAAATGCATTTCATTTTCAAAACTGAGCTATAAGCTGTTAAAGTGTGTAGGCTTTTAGGGGGATACCCTGTATTTTCATTTTTTTAATCTGGTTACCTTTTTTTAATCTTTATTGTTGAAAATATTGCAGATGTCCCCTTTTTACCCCCCTTGATCCCCTCCACCCCGCGTCCACCCACCCCCAGGCCTTCCCCAATATCTGTGTCCATGGGTTATGCTTATAAACATATGTTCTTTGATTAATCTCTCCCCACCCACTCCCCGACACCCTGTATTTTGAAGCCATAATTAGATTCGGTCACAAAACATTATCTTAAAACCAAATGGTCATTTTCATCTGAAAAATTGACCCAAAAAAAGATTTTAAGTGGCAATATCTAAGTTGGGCAAGAGTGAAATGAAACTGATGCCCTTACACACTCGTGAGTCAACAATTCGGCCGTATAACCGAGAACCTCAAGAACACGAATACAGTTTAGGCCGGTGTCCCCACCTCTGGCAATCTGTCATAGTCAGCAACCTGCTTGCAATTGCCCTGCCTGTCGCCCCTCTTTCCAGATTTCATTTCTTGCCTGCTCACTGCCAGGCTGTGAGCCTGATGAGAAGGGATGTCTGTCTTCGTCCCAGCAGGGCTTGACATGCAGTAGGTATTTAGCATTAGTTCAGAGTGAAATTCGGGCAATGCTTTAGGCACAAAAAAAAAAAAAAGAGAGAGAGAGAGAAAGGGCTTGGTCATCCAACAATGAGAGCAAGAATGGTTAAGTAAATTTTCAAACATGCAGACAATGGAAACCATTAAAACGATGCCTATAAAAAGTTCCAATAGGATGGCAAAAGGTCGCATCCTGATTTTAAAGAACAAAGATACAAAATGGATATGCAGTATGATTTCTACATATAAATACAGAAAAGAAGAACATCTAAATCTGTCACCTATTGTAACATATGCCATTAGGACCTGGAGTCTAATATGATACACTGTATACAGTTGTGACAAGTAAACCTCCCCGCAGAGAGGGCCAGGCCAGGAAACTTGCTTGTCTCCACTTTGCCATGGGGGGCAGGGAGGAAAAAACCTCCCCAAAGGATTTGAACTATAATCCCAGGTTCGCCCCAGCTTGCATTTTAAATTCATGCCACCAGCGTGGCTCAGAGAACCTCAAGCAGAGATCTTAACTCAAAATAGCCTTGGGTTGGTGGTGCCTCCAGACGGCTGGGAAAAGCAGGCACAGATCTCTGGGAGAACTGGACCTCCGTGGGGCCCGGCAGCCGCGATGGGTCACCATGGCCATGCAATCAAGTCAACATTTTGCATCCCAGGATTGATGAAATAACATAAGCAACATCTTAACGGGCCAAGTCAGTGGTGAGAT